ACACCGAGCAGCTCGTGAAAGAATATCCTCCTCACATGTCGTCGCCCGTACCTTCTTGGAAACTTTGTACTGCTACAGGATTGGGTGACACCACATGGAATCGAAGGGCGTTGGAAAAACTCTCGCCTACTTGGAATGGAAGGGCGCTGAGTACCTGAAGAAGACAGAATATTGCTAACCATGAATGGGCCACCTAACCTCGCCCTCTCGATTTACCATATCGGCGGAGCTCGATAAGGTGGTTCGATGTAGTGGCGCGAAAAATCAACGACCTCGCTGTACTTAGGTACCGAGTCACGTTTGCCTGGCATAATCTCTCGATAGCGTTCGTCCAGAAGGCTGTGGCGGAGTTTCGTAGTCGTGCATTAGTGTGGTTTTGAATTTGATGGTGCGGAATGTCCAATCAGAGTTCAACAAAAGTGTGACTTATTTTCGCCTTGAAAGTCGAGGAAAAAAAAAGAGTCTTTTTTAGGCCTCCTGTGTACATTCTTTTTCCACAAATTCCGCAAGTCGTCAAACCTCTGGCTTTCCCTCCCTCTCTCTCTGTCTCTCTAACTATCTATCTAATTTCAACCTCAATTTCTGAATGCTATAGCAGTAAAGTGTAAATGGTGTCAGTGGATCATATGACAGCACGGTTAATCATATCACTGCTGTGCAGACATTGAACTTGGTGATTACCGATGGAGACTGCGCTTTGACTTTCGCCGTCACTGTAAAGTGCAGCACACTCAATCCGCCCTTTCAAGGTTCCTCGTTCCAAATTAGTTCTGTGCATGAAAACGTTATCCCTAAAAAGTAACCCTCAATGGTCGTTCTGCATACAAATAGATTACAGTGTTCTACAGTCTTGTTTGCCGCGGGCGATGTGCAGCGCCAGTCCGTTGTTTTTCTTCATGCAAGAGCAGGGCACATCATTAGTTGGGGATTTTGGTCGAGTCGGTGCGACCACTTCCGCCTTTTTAATGGGTTGGTACTACCCCCTGGTTTCCTCCTCATCAAGCTGTCGAGCGGAGGGGCATATAATGGAAAAAGACGAAAAAACGGAAAAACCGGAGGGTAATATGACCTCCTCCCCCCCTTTGGGAATCCCCAACAACGATGTGTGCTCTGGGCAAGAGACAAGACTATATCATATCGTTCAATTTTGTCTTTTTCCAATTTTTGCTGCTATCCTCTCCAAGTACTGGTAGAGTACGGGCTGTCGGCGCGCTAAACCCAGCCTCACTGACGAGCCTCATCATCTGCAGCGAACATTGTACTGTTGTCCCTAATCAGAAAAAAAAGTGAAACTTGGAAAAAGCACTCCAAAGCACAGATGGTCCATTTCGCCCTTTCCTCAGACAACAGGACACATCGTTGTCGGGATTTCCCTAACAGGGGGTCGTATTTGGACTGAAAAAAATATTTTGATGGGTGATTTTTCATGTCTTCGAATGACGTTATGAAGGAGGAGTCGTACTTGCTCGTTGCTGGGGGGTTTGTTGTATTTCCGTTCCGACCTTATGAGAGATGTCGCTGCTTGTATACAGGGGGGGGTCAAAAAAAGTCACTTTGACCGAGTCACATATCAGCAAAGTTTCGCCGTCCCAAAACAAAAGACGTGGGATACGATAGTTACCAGGCGATACCCAAGATTCCTCGATAAGTAGGTGTTCCAAACTTCTAGTATGGATCACCCATGGAAGCTACCGGAGAACCATACTCTCTGATCGTATAACCTCCAAACATCGCATCTCCGACATAACGTCGCCACGGTCTAGGACATCATCTTCACCACAGTCGCCAGGGCGGATTGATGGTATGGACCGGACGTACCTGGAATGGAAAGACCAATATTTTCTTCGTTGGACCCCGACTGAAGGTGAGCGCTGGCGGTTACATTGGCAACTCTGAAGAATACATCCTCACATTCGTCGCCCGACCTCTTGGAACTTTGTACTGCCTACAGCATTAGGCTGTCACCCATCGAAGGGCATTGGAGAAATCCTCGCACTTGAAGAAAGCGGGTTGAGTGCCTAACTCAAGATGAATATCAACTTAGTCATCTGAACTAATCAATATCACTTACCTCGTTCGCGGCGTAGTGTCAGTGGGGTGGTCTACCGGTGCGAGTATATCGCACAAGCTCGCTGATCTCAGCAGCATCATCGCGGTCGCGTTCCAGGAATCTCCGCATGACGTTCGTCCAAAGGCGTACGGAGTGTCTATGATAGTATTTAACTAGTTCTTTAAATTACAGTGGTAAAAAATGTCGGTCAGATTAATTTGATAAAGCGCCTCGAAAGTCAATGAAGAAAAGTGACTTTTTTTGCCCCCCTGTATATACCCCGTCCCCCACTACACTCGACAATAGATTTTTGGACAAAAGGGAAAATTTGCTGGGAATTGTGAATAATATAAGAAAGGTGTAGAGGAAGTCGTATTTCCTCGCCGTTTTTCCATTTCAATGGTATTACCCCCGCTCGACAGAGGGAATCAGGGGGGGGGGTGTAGGGAATGTCCTACCAAGCCCATGAAAAAAAGGAGGGGGTCGTACGCTTTCTTCGAGCGAAACTCCAACAAATGATGTGCCCTGTCAGACCAGACAAACGACCGCCAGTTCGTCAACCACGGGGCTCATCGTTGACGAAACAAGGACTACGAGGAAGGACTTGACGAAAAAGAGAAAAGTAAAGTTTCAACGTAGACGCTCAATGCAACAATCATGCGCCATTTGATAGAAAAAAAAATAGAAAACGAATTCTACTGAATAGGCTAAAGAAGTTCACTAGAAAGGAACAGTCTGAACTTCACTAAAAAGGAATGGCCTGGCAGTGGTTAATCATCAATCGTGTAGGTCAAATCTTGAATCGAATCTCCCTTAGGTGCCAACCAAAACCTCAGTCCCCGTTTTTGCTACCAGATTCTTTTCAAAAAAAAGGATGAAGTCTCCGCCGTTGATCAATTCCTTTTGAGTATGCGGCACGCATTCTACTTCTATTCAGAATCGTAGTGGCTTATTGAATGCGATGTGGCCTATACAATGACTTGCAAGAGCCAGCCGATGTACAAGTCAGTGTTTTATCCTCCCAAACGAATCTGGTACCAATTTACCGTATCCTAAGGAAAGAAGGCTTAATTGGCCTGGGCGGCAGTCGATCCGCGATTCCACCCACAGCCGCGAGCGGGAAGGACTATTGGTGAAATTACTGTCAAATCATTTCTGGACATGTGAGCATTGACTCATCATATGTCATTGCATAACACTTTTCCATGAAGACAGTACGATTCTGGGTAGAGGTGGAATGCGTGGCTCAATACGAACAGCCGGCAACTATCTATCGCCGCTCCTTTCACGTACAACGTCCGTGGACACTCCCCTTCCAAAGTCGTGATATGTACTGCACTAGCCAGGTCGTGCGTCGTCACATCGTAACGAGGACACTACCGTACTCATAGCGGCTGGAGCCACCGCCTAGCTCTAACCCGGCTTGGACAGAACGCATCAAAAAAACGACAATGGAAAGGGATGACGGGAAAAGTGAGGCTTGGCCCTAATAACCACAGGCACCTACGATATTCCATGTAGTTTATACCCTGCAGCCTCTAACTTCCTCACAGGTCTTTTTGTAGAACTCTCAATACGCGAAATTACTAGAAGATCCATTGAGCACGGTAAAGTTCATGGCGTATCCCATAAGCTTACAAAATGTCTGAGAATCCAAGATCCAATGAAGGTCTTATCACAACTCGTTTGTTATTTTTTGTAAAGTCAGTAATTAATAGTCAATTTTGGCGCAGTTTTTCTCGGCGAGGG